TTGATGAACTACTATAAGCTTCCTTCATCTTCATATTCAAACTATCAAGTGATTTTAAGCTCAAATGGTATATAAATAAAAAAAATTATCATCATTCCCAATCAAAAAAACCACAAATTTCTCTATTTCCAGACCACGAAATGAGCCATGCTAGTGATGAAACATGAGAGGATGAAGTTGGTAACCTTTAGAACCGAAGAATGGATGGAGGAATGAAGTCTTCACCAATCCCGCAAGCATGAACTCCTTCCACGAGCAAGAATAGAGAGCAGGCAGAGAGTTTGAAATGGCTAGGGCTGGGGGAGGAAGAAGGAGAAACTATATAGCCCGGGACATATAGTCCCAGTTTGTGGTGTAAACCAAGACTACAGGTGAAATTCTAGTCCCGGTTTGAGCCACCAACTGGGGTTAAAGGTTTAGTCACGGCTGGTGGCTCCAACCGGGACTGGAGGGTGACCTTTAGTCCCGGTTTGAGCCACCAACCGGGACTAAAGGTCCCCTCCTAGAAAAGTTGCGGCTCTAGCCGTTGGGTGGGTGACTTTAGTCCCAGTTGGTAGTTTCAATCGGGACTAATCCTTTCTTTAGTCCCGGGCCCAAAAATGGCCAGGACTGTCCTAGGTTTCTGACAGCATAGATACATCATCTTGTGAATTTCATAACTCCCAAATCAAAACAGCTATAAGGGTGGTTCTTGCGGGTAGAGAAAGATATTGAAGTCTACTATTGTCCAGAATTTTCTCATGATTTTTGGTCATCCAAGAACATAGATATAAACCGAAGAGGACAGACTGCTTCGAAAAAATAGGATAGGGAAAACAAAAGATAAATAAAACCCAACTACTTATTTCATTAATCCTTATGCCTTAGGCCTATAAACTAAATAAAATTATGGAATAATTCACAAAATCATTGCAATCATTACAAAGATCCAAAACAAGCATTAGTGTAATGACAAACCAACTAAACACTAAAGGTTCACACTTCACACATTGACTCAACTTGCGGTTACTACCGTTCTCTTCATATTAAGGGCAAAGATCCTAATGCTCCTCTTTCGATGATGCAAGAAGGTGATAAGAGAAGATTCTAAAAGCATATCAAGGCAACGAGTATAGATGAGAACAAAGGTTTAAAACAAGCATCAAGGAGGAGATGAATATCAAGGGTAGATATATAGTAGAGAAGACAAAATCAAGATTTATAGAACAAGGACTTTATAGCAATTTCAAAACCTTAAGACAGCCAATTTCTAACTAGATCTGTGTCCTACAGTCAGTATTGCTCTGATACCACTTTGTGGCACCTGATTTTAAGAACAAAACTAGATACACACTATATGTGAGCCCAGAAAGTCAAATCACACATATGGCTACAAATAGAGTTAATATCAATAGACAATGCTTAATATATAGCATACTTAGTACAAAGAATATAACCTTAGATAGTAGATAGTGGAAAGCTCTGATCTTTAGGTGAAAGCTCTAAATCCACAGGGACAACTAACTGGTTGATCACAAGCCTAACTCGTCCAGACACTAGCAATCTGGTACCCATCCGGAATTTTTCCAAAGTATAGAAAAGTAAAGCAAGCGCAAGTACATATCGTACTCAGCAATATAACATGGGGTTCATGAGGCTCAAAAGGTTGACACTGGCTTATTGCGATTAGCATTTTAGTGAGTCAAATTTTAGCATTAGAGTAGTAGCAAGTTCAGCATAAGCCCCAAATAACCACATGATTATGTAAACAAGATTAATGTATAGCAAAAACAATAATCATAAGTGAGCATCTATATCATCAGTATCATTAGTGTTCATCATCTATTTAGTATGGAGTCTAGGCCACTCGTGACCATGAGCACGGTTGATATACCAGTTTTACACTCTGCAGAGGTTGTATACTTTCACCATGAGCCGTGATACCCATATGCCCGGGTTAATTACTCCCAAAACACTTCCAAGGTGAGCAGGCTGGGATCACTATGAAGTCTTTCAAAGGTTCGTCTAACAAGTGTAGACCGCTAGGTTTCCCCATTAATAAGCATGAACTCCCTTTCAAGGGGTGACTAACAAAAATATAAAGAAACCAAAGTGCACCCTCTTGGCAGGCCGAGAACATACAGATCGGAGCCCTTCTTGAGCCTTTCGGTAAGCTACTACGAGCTCGAAAAGGTCCTCATACTTAACTAAAGCTAGAGCCATGTAGCACTTATGGTTGTACTGTAAGTCCCGGGAGAATCCATTTACAGATAAGTCCTTAGGGACAGGAATCTAGAGCACCAAAAAAACAATACTATAGCCCCCTTATTCCATGCTGTTAAAAATCATATTTTAACGTTTATTGCATATACCATTGGTCAAGTTACAGATCATGGTTATTTAATTGAGCACTAGAAAAGTACTACCCAATGCATAATCCCACGGTGTCAAGGTACAAGGTACAAAAGCTAGGATATCCTTATAGGAATCAAGGTAGACACATGCATATGAATTAAGTGACATTAGAGTGAATAGGTAACAAGGATGATCCCATGCTATATTTACCTTAATAATTTAGATTCTCAATTGGTCCTAGCCTTCAAAGAACTTCTTTCTTGATCACCAACTTCTTCTAAATCACCAATGCAAGGCTCATCGACTGGACTTGATCATAAAGCACCACACAAGCATCCAAGCACAAACATGCATAGCATACAAATATGACTAGATTAGAATAGTACACCAATCAGTAAAAAGATTTGAAAACTAATCTACGCATTGCTACGAACACATAGACGCGAAAAGCACTCTAATCGGAGCTATGGTCACAAGATCACAAAAACGCTGAGAACAGAGCTACGATTAAAAGAAACGACTACCGAAAATTTTATATTATAAAAGAAAAGAAAAGCCTACATGCTTGATTTGTTTTATTTAATCAAAACCATGTGAAGCATATTAACTCGGATTACACAAATTCACATTTTATTTTAAAAGCCGAGTTAAACTAGTCATATTTTATTTATAAACAATGCCATATAATTTAATCAAGTTAAACTTTATCTTTGCAAAAGAAAAGTGTACATATAAGCATCTAAACAAGTTGTATATGGTACGTGTTTAAGCTAAGTAAATTAATAATTGAAAATAATATTAATATCAGCAATTAAGCATATCAATATTTATATATAAATCAATGCAGTAGAAAACCTATGTTGCTTTTAATTATAAAATAAAACAAGTTGTATTTACACTAAATCAATTTGATATTTAAATTATAAAGCTTGGAAATATTTAACATGATAGCATCATTACTAACACGAAGATCACATTGACATGAATCTAACATAATTTGAACGGACTAAGACGGAGCTAAGATGGGAAAACTACACATAAAACAACAGTATATACACTACTGGATTCAGGTTTTTTGCCGAGTGCCTAAGGCACTCGGCAAAGGCCAAATTGCACTCGGCAAAGCCTTTGCCGAGTGTGGCACTCGGCAAAGAACACACGGCAAAAATTTGATCGGTAAAGTGCTCTTTGCCGAGTGTCTTTATCGAGCACTTTCGGCAAAGGCTTTGTCGAGTGCCCCATGTTTACTCGGCAAAGAAAAGCGAAATCATGGCGCCCGGTCCGTTGATGGTCACTTTGCCGAGTGCCAACCCTGCAGGCACTCGGCAAAGATTTTTTATTTTTTTAAAAAAGAATTTCTTTGCCGAGTGCCAACCCTGCAGGCACTCGGCAAAGATTTTTTATTTTTTTTAAAAAAAATTCTTTGCCGAGTGCCAACCCTTCAGGCACTCGACAAAGATTTTTTATTTTTTTTTAAAATTTCTTTGTCGAGTGCCAAGCTCTCGAGCACTCCATAAAGATTTTTTTATTTTTTTAAATTTCTTTGCGAAAGTGCAAGCCTTCGAGCACTTTCGGCAAAGATTTTTTTATTTTTTTAATTTTCTTTTGCGAAAGTGCCAACCCTTCGAGCACTTTCGGCAAAGAGTTTTAATTTTTTACAAAATTTCTTTGCCGAGTGTCAAACCTCTCGAGCACTCGGCAAAGATTTTTATTTTTTTAAAATTTCTTTGAAAGGCCTCTCGCCAACACACTCGGCAAAATTTGAATTTTTTTAAATTTATTTGTCGAGTGCTCTCGTGTCTTAAGACTTTTCGGCAAAGTTTGAATTTTTTTAAAAAAATTCTTTGCCGAAGTGCCATAATCACAAACTTTTCGGCAAAGATTTTTTATTTTTTTAAATTTCTTTGCCGAGTGCCCTCGTCCAAGACTCGACAAAGTTTGAATTTTTTAAAAAATCTTTTGCCGAGTGCCATGGTCACAAAGACTCGACAAAGCTGGAAAATGGTCTTACAGGCGCCTATTTTTTTAGCTTTTTGCAAAGTACTGTGTGACCATAGCATTAACAAAGGGTCCTTTGCCGAGTGCAACACTAAGCAAAGTGACCCAAAACGACAATTTTTATTTTTTTACATTCCATCATGACAAATAAATTCATACAAACATATATCACATATATATCTCATCCATCACATATATATCTCATTCATCCACACATCCATCCACACATATCACATCCATCCGATACCAGTTTGCAGGATACAACAAGAATCTCCTGAATGAGAGACAAAAAAATTGCCAAAGATGATCTTCTAAACATGAAAGTTCAGGTATACACACACACGCTCAACACAGTTGTACACACACCTAGCTTTCTCTTCAGCTCTGACAACAACTGCTTCTAGAATTACAGCATTTCCTCTAGCTTTTCCTAGTTTTGAGCGCCACACCTGAGCTTCTTGAAGAGCAGAATCTCTCTCTGTTAGCAAACGATCTCTCTTCAACAAGAAGCTTTGCTTTCTCCTCCGATTCCCTAAACTGAAACAAAAATACAGACAAGTTCAAATATTTTCATTGACATGAAACATTCTCATGGTGGTCTGAATCTAGTCTATAACACTTTAACTAATAAGCATTAGAAGATATGTGTACTGTATGCGATTGTTACCCTAAGCAAAACGTTCAAGTTCTGACGTAAAAAATCTTCTCTCTTCATCAATTGAACGTGCTGCAGAAGCAGCAGTTTCAACTGCTTCTGCAGTCTCCTGTAACTTCTCTTCAATTTCATTGATGGTAGAATCACGTGCACGAATATCCTGCAACAATTGGTGGAGTTCGTCGTCTTTAACTCGAAGGGTCTCCTGTTGGTCGCAGATGCATTGCCATTGCCAGAAAAATAGAAACAAGAAAATAATTTCAGTATCCAATCATCAAATTATAGCATATTATAGTTTTAGAAGTATCGCTTTGAAAGACAGACTACAATAAAGTTATCCATCATATGAGCTTTAAATGTTTTATTATAGATGATAAGTTCATTATCAACTTTTGCATCACAGGATTACAAATCAGTTTTCAGTCAGTCAGTGAATTTTTTATGAAGTATTGTTGTCATATAATCCAGCTATAGCAACAGGGTGCTGAAAGGGAATATATATCTCCTGTTGGTTGCAGCAAATTTAGTATGCCAGGAAATTGGCTAGTAACTGACAAAATTCCTGTTGATTTAGCAATATTTTTGTTGATTTGGCAAAAAAAAAGTTATCATCTATACAAAGTAGTATAGCTTCTCACAGTGCATAAATGGTTTCAGCAACTATAGTCTATAGGACACACCATTTGCTGGTTTTTGGAGCACAGTCTTATGTACATTACATCAGCAATTCTAGCATCCACTGCTCAATTACTGAATAGTAATTCAGGTACTCTTATGTACAAGTAGTATATGGAAGAGCATACCATCATTATTGTGAGATCATCTAATTGGCCTTTGGTAAGTTTATTTGTAGTTGAGCCCAAAGTTGCCCGCAGGGAAATCTTCATTGCAGCCTCTACCTCCTTTGTTGCTTCAATTGCAGTGGCATTGGCTACAGCCACAACAGTTGCAACTGTTCCCAATTTTGCAGGACCATTCTCACCCAATGAATTCACGGCCTCCTTATGAGCCTGTAGTACCAACTGAGTCGCACTGCATATGAAGCAAGAAAATATTATTAGGCTTCAAGGTCTGCAGATATAACAGCAGTACACAAAATGGGAAATGATAGATCTGTGCACATCGAACATATCATACATCAACCAAACGAAATTGAAGGGAAGGGATATTATATATACTGAGGCAACCAAGTAACATTATCAATGAGGGAACCAAATGAAACCCTTTGCTTTGCAAGATGCTACAAGCAACTGTTTCTTTGTTTCACTTTGGAACAAGAGCGCCAGTAGCACTAACTATTTACAGGAAGCTTTTCCGTTTAAATAAACCTACCCGTAAAAAATTGCGTGATTTGCCATTATGTGTGCGGTAGTTGAGCAAGGCCTTCTCTAAATTCACCAACCACAGCCACCATATATGCATCAACTAAATAGCAGAGTTTAAGTCAAGGATGCATGGGTCTTTTGAAATTTCTCTTAATCTGTCTTAAATATCTAGGATCCAGGACAAAGGGAGTAGTCCACTAATATGGTTTTCTATTTTTTTCCGCTTTTCAGTTCTGCCAATACTGACACTTACGGGAACATATCAAACAGCAACCCACTATAGACCCAGTTGTACAAGTGCAAATAGCAGATTCAACATATATTCAATTAATGTTCATTTAATCTTAGTCAGTCCAGTGGCAGGGAAGAGATAATCCAACAGTAATGCAAAACTCATGGTTCAGGATAAAACCAGTTTCAGGGAATACAAAAGTTAAAAAGATAAATATAATCAAGAACCGTAGATTATCAAAGCTTACTGTAAAGTGGATACCCATGCTCTTGCAGCGCTGGGAGTTTCTGCTCAAAGAAAGTATTCCTTTTTCTGTGGAGTTCCAATATCTAGAACACTAGTCAAAGAACGTAGCGAATCAAATCTAGACAAAAGGAGAAGAGAGGAAACATTATAACACAAAGATACCCCATAAGGATACAGAAACAGCATCCATCGTATTTTGCCAGTCCACTGCACCAAGTGTTTGCACAGGTCATTACAAAGTTTCCACAGCGTATATCCAAAAGTCATGACGGACTAGAATAGAATTAGGTCCATACTGGAAGTTCATAGGCGATAGTGTCACTGTGCTTGTCGAATCAAACACGATTACTCCCCTAACATCTTTGTAACTCCTATGGACCCTACATCATCCAAAAAATTTGGTGTCATTCATTTGGCGTTTCAGGTACCGCCTCTTTGGCAAAAAGGAAAACAACTCTGCAGTTACAGTACTTGTATTCTATTTTCCAGTTGTAGGATCAAGTATGACCCAGCGCTCATTCCACTTTCTTAGCTGATATATATGAGTAAAAAGAAGAAACATCATAAGTGGAAGCGACAACGTGGAATCCAAACAAAAATAGCAATGCTATGATAATGAGAACACCTCAGAAGTCGCACATAGACTAGATGGTTTATACACGGCTACACTAGCAAGGAACTGAATTTGCAAATAAGAGGAAATGACAGTTGACAGGTAAACAACAAACAGATGTTAACTAGAGGCTCGCAACGGTATCCAAGCGTCAGCAATAACAGCACAGGTTGGCTTTCTAGCTGTTTACTGCAGTAATTTCTATTGACATCGAGACAGGGAACCTGTACCAAACTGGAAATCCAGAAAGAAAGGGAAATGAAGGGAGTGGATTTACCGTGTCGGATCGCTTCAAGAGAGGGCCCTGGAGGAGGTGGCGGGTGGAGGTGGAGGAGAGCTGGCGCCGCACCCGGTCCAAGCTGCTCTGCATCTCGCCCACCACCTGCGGTCAGCTCGACGCAAGAGCGAGGAGCAAGAGAAATTCCCAGCAGCTCCCGGTGAGATCCCAGCTCAAATCATACGGAAACGCAAAGGAACCCGCCAGCGTCGGCCGATACCTGGCCCGATCCAGGGACAAGAGAGGAGTTGCCGGACTCACCGTGCTGCTGCTCCCGTTCGAGGCCATGGCTAGCTGCCGGTGCCGGCAGGACAAGAGGAAGAAGAGGAAGGAACCCCCTCCTCCTCCTCGCTTCCTCCTCGCCTCCTCCCCCTCCTCCTCCTCCTCCTCCCCTCCTCCATCCGCCGGCGTTGGCGGGCCGGCGTGGGCGAGCTGGCCACGCGCGGAGGGGCTGCGGCTGCGGCGGGCGGTGCGCGGCGCGGGCGCGGGGCTGCGGCTGCGGCACGCCGGCGGGTGAGCGGGCGGGGCACGGCGGCGTGCGTGTGTGCGTGACTGCGTGTGTGCGTGTGTGGGAGGGAGGGTTCGGTGGCCGGTTGTCTAGTGCGGATGGGCCCGATCTGGCACTCGGCAAAGACGCCGGTTCGCCGAGTGCCAGAGCACAGACACTCGACAAAGGGAACACTTTGCCGAGTGTTTGACAGCTTGCACTCAGTAAAGAGCATAGCAAATTAATTTTTTTTTGGTATTTTGATCTCCAAATTTTTTCTGTAGTTTTCTTATAGTACTTGGTACTCCATGTTAAAATTTGGTATATTTTCCGAACTGTTGGCTATATTTAGTTACTTTATTTTGTTTACTTGAATTTTTTCGAAAAATATAAATTTGAACTGCACGTGTATCGAATAATGGAATTTAATGATTCAAAAAATGATATTCACGTTACTGAGTGTAGTGTGAGGCCGTATCTAGGAACGGACCCAAAATTTCGAACATCTTGTTCACAAAACATAACCACGAACTTGCGGACGAAGTGTTTATAAATTCTATAAAAAGCAAACGAAGTCCGAAAATCATAAAACTTGTTGAGATATCGTGATCTCATATGTGGAGGCTATGATAAAAATTTGAAAATTTTTGTTACACGTTATCACGTACGATGCTTACAAACCAGGACATCTCTACATGTGATATCAGATATCACATGTAGAGATGTCTCTGTGTAAGCATCGTCACGTGTGACAACGCTTGTCTGAAATCTTCTAAAATTTTTATCATAGCCTCCACATATGATATCACGACATCTCAACAAGTTTCATGATTTTCGGACTTCGTTTGTTTTTATAGAATTTAAAAAACACTTCACAGTGCAATTTCGCGGACATGTTTCGTGAACAAGATGTCCGAAATTTCGGTCCGTTCTCGGATACTGACCTCCCACAACACTCACTAACATGACTATCAATTTTGAATCATTAAACTCCATTATTCGTACCACGTCTTGATTCAAATTTCTAATTTAGGAAAAATTCAAGTAAACTAAATAAAGTAACTAAATATATAAAAAGCCACAAAAATCCCCAAATTGTAACTAGGAGTTCTGGTGCTTTAAAAGGTCTGCACAAAAAAATTGGAGGCCAAAAACAAAAAAAAAAAAAACTTTTGCCGAGTCTTGGGGCATGGCACTTTAAGCAAAGGGTCTTCTTGAAAGTACCGGGAATAAGGCACTCTAAAAGAGTGTTTTAAATTTTTTTAAAAAATTTCCTCTTTGCCGAGTGCATCCACAGGAGCACTCGGCAAAGAATTTATAAAAAATTAAATCTTTGCCGAGTCTTGGAGCGGGGCACTTTCGGCAAAGTAATTTAAAAATCTTTGCTTAGGCGCCAGATCCGAGGCGCTCGGCAAAGAATTTTAAAAAAATTAAATCTTTGCCGAGTGCGGATCTGGGGGGGCACTCGGCAAAGAAATTTTAAAAAATCAAATCTTTGCCGAGAGTGTCTAACAGCGGCGCTTTCGGCAAAATAAGGCCGTGACCGAACGCCGTTTAGCGGGCGACCTATGCCGAGTGTAGAGATTTTTCCGAGAGTCGGCACTCGGCAAAGAAGTCCTTTGCCGAGTGTCCGTGTTTGCCGAGTGCCCGGCACTCGGCAAAGAACTCTTTGTCGAGTGCAATTCTTTGCCGAGTGCAGCACTCGGCAAAGAAGGTCTTTGCCGAGTGCCCGATTTTTGACACTCGGCAAAGAATTTTGCACTCGGCAAAGTCTCTGTTTCCAGTAGTGATAGAACGGGATATAGGCAATCGTGCAGGGCATGGATGGTGAACCTGCTCTCCCTAGGCATGGGCGACGGCGGTTAATTGCTGAACCGTGTAGGTTGAACTAGCGACGATGACTAGCAAGATTGCTCTCTCCGTGAAGGCTTGCTCGGCATGCTCAAGCGAGAGATGAACAACGGCGAGAAGTCAGCCAACAAAAGCGATGATGATGCTGCTGCCGAGAGCTAGAAACGTCAGATTGGCGATGCTGGTGCATGGGCGCAGTCGAGACGTTGGAGACGACGTATAGTAGAGATAGGAGGCAAAATCTAATTTACTACCTTAGGATTCCCAAACTATGGGCTCCTCTTACGGTAGTTCTGATGTGCTTTACCCAAGGGAGTGGTACATATATATAGGGAGGAAAACTTTCCACCTTCACATCAACTAGCAATATGGTACTAATTGATGTTGCACCATCCACCTCCACTAGTAGGCCTAAATAATCATTAAAGCCTATTAGTAAATAAGGGCATGGGCCTTTGAGAGTCGGTGGAAAATTGGGCTCGGATTTTTCTAATTTCAAAATTAATTAATATCATGAAATAAAAATAATTCTAGAAAGTCTAGAGTTACCATTTATATCACGAAAAATGCTCCGAAGCTTAGAAAAATCCCCACAAAAATCCTGGAGATAAATTGAAAGACGAGGAACTCAGACAAAATATTTGGAGCTCTTGAAAAGATTGTTGAGAGCTTGGAATAAAACAGATCAAGGTTAATGTGGTAGGAATTAAATTAGAAAGATTCCAAGAGATAGATGTTCGTCTCCTAAATGATTTTTAAAAAAAAATATTTTGCACATAGAAACACAAGGTGCGACTGGCACGAATGCAACAAACATGTTTCTACCTTAAGATAAATTTTAATTTAATAAAAATTTATTATTTCCCTATGTTTTCATGAGCACAAAAATACAAAATTAAATCATTTTAGCTCTATTTCAAGAGAAACAAATTTTAGGGTGTTACATTCATTGCTTGCAGCCCTAGTGACTGTTCTACCCCTCCAACATGCTCTTGCACATCCGAGATCCTATTGGAGTGCTAGAAAGAATGTCCATGAGATGGTTATATTATAATATGTTTACAGAATTTGAATCTAACATTGGCCTAGCTTGGACAAGGCTGTACCATCCTAAAAAGATCTTTGTTATCATTCATGTATATATATTAAGGTCTTGGTTACCGTATGTAGGCATGTTCAACAACGGGTTTGATCGGGTTTAGCTAGTTTTCAAAACCAACTTGTACAATGACGGGTTAGGTGGTTTGGTTCCGACGGTTTGAGAGGTTTAAACCATCACGTCCTCGTCAAGCGCCGCTGTCGCTGGCTCCGGTGAGCGTCCTAGTCC